AGTTTTATGCTCCAGCAACATCTGTCGGTCAGAAGTGGCCGAGACCGATCTCAATTGAGTCTGATAAACCACTCTACTAACATACTGACACTTTTATGGCACAATTTGCTGACAAAACTCGTAAATTGTCCTGATACCGAACAGTGTAGGCAGACTGATGCATAAATCATAGAGTTATCATCTTCCAGAAGTATGGGCAGTGGCCACTCACCTCCTGACTCGGTCCACCTCCAGCACGGACACGGAGGATGTAGATCCCCTTGTGTTAGGCTGCCTCTTCAAAAGACATGTTATCTTAAGATGAACTTATATTCAAATTATCAGTTTCAAAAAGGTGTCCGAAAAAGTTTGCAGTCCTGTGAAAAGTGTGAAAGAGGGCCTTGGGTTCATGTTTTTTATTCAGCTGTGACACTTGAGTTTAGAAACTGGGGACAAGCAGCAGCGAGAAGTAATTGTCAGGGGTTCATTTGGGAACAATCATGGCATGGTTGTGTTATACTGCTCAAAAGAAGTTAAAGAACACCTGATTTGTTCAAATGACTATAGTTAATCTGTCATGGCTGGTGGGTATTGCAACACAACACACAACCTTCCAAATGTGGGTGTTCTTTAACTTGTTTTGAGTAATATATTTCAAAGTTAACACTTTGGCAGGTTGGAAGAAAACATTGAAAACACTTAACTGAAACAAGAAATGTATTTTGGACGATGGAAACAGTAAAAAGCTTCTTTTTTTTTCTCTCTTATTTTGGATGAAGATAAGGCTGAGCAGTTTCCTAGGTAACATAAACTGTTGTTTATTGACATCGGAAAGCTAGTTCTTGTTATGGATGTAAACGAAGACAAGTGAAGACATTCCCCTGCTGGCAGCCTGAAGACGTCACCGTTTTATTAGGATGAAATATATTTAATATCTGCCATTACCACAAAATCACACAAGCAAAATGTAATAATTGAAGCATTTCAGAGCTGCAGTTACTGGCGTCCAATTAGGATTTTTGTTTCAATTCTTTTGTTCGGGAAAATACTAAGAAAAAGAAATTTTGCCTCAGGTTTTATAAAAACAAATAATTGTTTGCAGGATATCCTGAAAAATTGCATATAGAAATCTGTTCAGCTCTCCCTTCTCTAAAAGAAATTGTTTTAAAGTTAACAAGAATTATCCTGATGTGATCAACGTTGAAAAAGTCCCATCTCCAGAATTTTAGATGGTAAGATTAGAAAGTAGCATGAATTTCCCTGGCTGATATATGCACTGGATGCTTACTCTCCTGATATGTTGCAATGAAGGACCTGTAAACAATCACTATAATGAAGGGTTCATGGAGTTAAACCTTTTTTACCAACTTCATTGGGAGGCTATTTTCTCAGGTCGTTTGAGCCCATCATAAAGTCTCCATTAAGAAAATCATTTCTTGGGGAAGTGGGCAATTCTGACAAACAAATATATATTTTTTTCCTCCCAAATTGTTTTTAGTTTTACAAATTATTCATGAGCAATTTCATTTCTCTGACTTGCAAAATAATGATTAATAAATGAACCAAATTCCAGAATAACTCAACACAATGATTCACAGCATGCCAAACATTGTCCAGAACTTGATCTTGTAATCACGGCTGGATATGGGGATATGGGGGGGGGGGACATATTGGCATTATTGAGTTGGTGTGGTGATGAAAGCTTCTAAGAATGTTCACTTGAATGTGTTTTAAGTAGTCAGTCCCTGTTATGTCTGAGCAAGACAGGTATCCGTACACGAACACGTCACTATTCCGCAATCCTGAGCACCTGATGGGTTTACCAGTTATCAACGCAAATTAGCTTTGCTATTGAACAATGCTAATCTGCCTGCCATTCGTGGAAATGTTTTAAACAAATAGCCCAGCAAGCATTGATTTGTCGTCTCAATGTATTAGACGGGTACGTTTCTGTCCGCACACACACTTGAGGCTTGTTGTAATTACTGATCAAACAAACCTCGTAAAACCTCCATTTCAGATACCATTAATCATCAATCTTAATGCAGGAATGTTTTTTTTATGGTAATTTTTGTCAATGAAAGTATGTGAATATAGACGCATGTATGGTATTTTGAAACGGGGTTAAGTGCGCTGGTAGAGTGTATCTTGGTTTTATTACTGCCCACATTCGCAGAACAGTGGTAAGGGTGAAGTGGGGAGTCTGACAGAGAACACTTGTTATTTCTAGACAGGATACCTGTGTTTAGCCCATGTCAGCTGGGCTTTGTCAAGGTATAAACACAGCGGCTCAGCCCAAGGGAGATAACTCCACACCTGCCAATATCCCTGTTAATAGGTGTGATTTATGTGAAGGCAGACCAAGGGGCGGAGCTTGGAAAATGATGACCTGTCAATCATTCAGCTTACAGCTACACTGATAAGTCGAGGGAGGGAAGAGCATATGGTCATACACCCCATGATAACCGCTGCTATAAATCTTCTCTGTCACCTGCCAAAACTGGCCTGACCTCGTTGTGTTTAATTCCTTTACATGCCATTAAAAAAGAAGAGATATAATGTTTTGATTTTGATGGAACCGGCATGAGTGGTACATATACTAGCTGTCCTTGACTCAGTCTGTGTAAATGAAAAAATCCCTGCATCTAAACATGCTAAAGACACGATGTACATAGCCTGTTCCTGTTTCCACATGATTTTGTACAGGAATGTCTTACCGGTAACCATCAACTTTCGCGTGCAGAGTAAAGTCATTTCTTGAGTAATTCAGAAAAAACTAAATTTATTTTCTGAAATTATTTGTTTTCTCAACTCTATATGTTCAATAAGAAACTTTTTTGTGCCAAAAAACAATTATGATGAATCAGATAAATATGAAAATGAAATCATACCAGGATTAAACCTTTTAATTTTTGTGTGGATGAGATATGTTATGGTAATGTTTAATAAGACAGGTTCCTGGCACTTTGGGGTGATAAATAACGATCAAGTGGGATGGTTTTATTGCAGGCTGTCTTTCCAGATGACTAATAAATGCCAACTAATTAAACAAATACTCACATAAATACCACAGTTTGGAAACTCGAGTACCAGTGTACAGAATTGGAAACCAAGGACTATTCTATAAAAGAGATAATGTCTTGGAGAAGTGACTGTTTCCTGCTTGGCGCTAGGCGGGAGATGGTCAGCCTGGAGATGGTTATTTCATTAGCTCGGTTATAAGTGGCGAGCCGACATGCTGTGCTATAGGGATTACTCGCAGATTTATGAGCTTGTCTGTTGTATAGTCTTCTTTAGTGTGAATAGGTATCAAGGTATTTCATATGATGCTAGTAATTCTGTCAGTTATTATTTTGAGATCATCTGCCATAGCCAGGGGCAATATATTTCGTAATCCCTTGCTTTGTTGTGTTGTTTGTGCTTGTTATTCTTTCGGTGTGAATAGCTGCCAGATTGCTGCTGTGGAGTTGGCGATACACAATGATGATGATGATGATGATGATTTATTTTATTTTATTTTATTTTATTTTATTTTATTTTATTTTATTTTATTTTATTTTATTTTATTTTATTTTATTTTATTTTATTTTATTTTATTTTATTTTTATTTATTTTTATTTTTTTTGGGGGGGGGGGGGGGGGGGGGGGGGGGGGGGTAAATGAAAACAAGACATTCTGCCCAATCACCTATGTTTTGATGTCTAGGGCATCACTTTGGGACTTCCCCAACCATGAAACTGACATGCCATGAAATACTGAAATACTACTCAGCAGTATCAAACCCATCTCTCTCACTCACTCACTCACTCACTCACTCACTCACTCACTCACTCACTCACTCACTCACTCACTCACTCACTCACTCACTCACTCACTCACACACACACACACACTCACTCACTCACTCACACAACCTTACACTAATGTTCTCTGTGTTAAATTGAAAGGGTACGAAAACATACAAAGTAACGAAAAAATAATTCATGTATAATTTTTTTTTTCATTAACTTGTGATATGAAAATAAATATGTTAATTATGTCAATGTCATTTGGAAAAAAACCAAACAATATGTTAATTTTGATGATCAGTCAGTTGTGATAACCATTTATTTTTTAGATTTTATCAAGCACGGGTTATTTCTGAAGAAAGTATTTTTCAAAAACATTTGCATTACCATCATTTGAACAGAATCTCACTTCAATTTGGATACCTCATGTTGTAACAGAAATACTATGTGAATGCTCTGTACAGTTTGTAGTCATTTTCAGTGTAGTGTGAATTAAATTTGTGATCATATTTTCTTGTTCAAAATGCTATGAAGCATGTGGCAAAATACTAAAATAACAAATACTGTTATGGTTGATTTTAAAGTTCATTTCCTAAACATGTTTACAAAGGTTAAAAATACATATTTTCAATCAAACATTGCTTTAATATTTAGTATAATTTTTTTTTTTTTTCAAATTTTGGGTTGGCTCATTAATTAACAAGGAAAAAAATGTTTGGACCTAAATGAACTATTTAGTAGAAATTGATTATGTTTTGGATAATACTGGTGTGTAGTAGTGAAATATGCAGTAAACTATGGTAATAACGAACTCAAAGGGACCACTAATTTTCGTTGGTTATAACCATAGTACGTTATAAGCATATGTAAAGCATATTTACAGCAAATGGCCGTGATGAAAATATGGTTTTCATATCCGTTATAAGTGTGTTCGTTGTAACCATAGTTTACTGTATGCTACGTTTTTCACAGATTTATTTTTAACAAATGGAACTCTACCTGACAGCTCATCCTGGACTTACATACAACAGATGAAATCTTGTATTACACAATAAAAATCTCTCTTCCTTTGAAAAAGTTAAAAAATGTTGAAACTTGAAATGTTGATTTCATATGCTACACTTGCCTGTGTTTATGATGAAGATTAGTTATGATTACGTTTACTGCTGATATTCTGTAGTCATGGCGTGGGACTAGGCTCATCCATGCTAAACAAAGGACTTTATGTTGCAGGTTCTTCTATTCAGCATCGCCTCCGCTGTCTACTTCTACCTCTTCAGGTAAGTGTTTGACTGTTATCTTCTTAGAACATCCCCCGTGAAGATCCGGGTTGGAATAGGTCTTCAGTAACCCATGCTTGCCGTAAAAGGTGACAATGCTTGTCGTAAAAGGCGACTAACGGGATCGGGTGGTCAGACTCACTGACTTGGTTGATGCATGTCATCGATCCCAATTGTTTGGATTGATGCTCATGATGTCACTCACTGGATTGTCTGGTCCAGACTCGATTATTTACAGACCGCCGCCATATAGCTGGAATACTGCTGAGTGTGGCGTTAAACAACAAACCAACAAAACATCACAGAACATGTAGAGTGGGCTGGACCTTTTGGCAGAATTCATGTTTACAGCTTTGAATTCTTGCCGTAGTGGACAGAGGACAAAGACGTGGGATCTACCCCTGCATTCACACCATGGGAGGTTACAACATCAAACATCAGAGACATGTATTTAATGAGATATTATTTCATTTTGCTAACAAAGGAAAGGTGCTGTTTATCCATTACTATTGTTGTACTTTCAATATCAACACTCTCAGGTGAGCTACAGTGTGTGATGATGTCCAAATCTGCAGCAAAGAGTATGATTTGTGTTGTTGAGGTGAGCTCAAGTATGAAAGAGTGTGCTGTCTACCGTTTATCACACTACTGAGTGCTGATCAGCTACAACACAGCTACAACACAGCTACAACACAGCCACAACACAGCCACAACACAGCTACAGCACAGCTACAACACAGCTACAACACAGCTACAGCACAGCTACAGCACAGCCACAGCACAGCTACAGCACAGCCACAGCACAGCACAGCCACAGCACAGCCACAACACAGCCACAGAACAGCCACAGAACAGCCACAGCACAGCTACAGCACAGCCACATCACAGCCACATCACAGCCACAACACAGCTACAACACAGCTACAGCACAGCCACAACACAGCCACAACACAGCTACAACACAGCTACAACACAGCTACAACAGACATTTAGAATATTTCAAATCTGCCGTGATCCAATCAATTCAGATGAGATTCTCGGACACCCAGGTGAGCTTCAGCCTGCAAATGTGTGAGATTGTTAGAATTGGCAATGACAGTTTGTGTAGCCACCAGAGGTAGTTGTAGGGAAATAGCTGCAAAGTAATTGAGACTCATCACTCCTTGGGGAAATAAGTTTTACAAAAACACACAATTCCTTTCTCAACTGCATAATTTAGTGTTAATTGGACGTTGCATGTGGTGCTTTTTGCCTGTGTCTAAAACATGAGCGGGCTGCGTTAATTGTGGCCAGTTTAGACAGAGATAGTTTTACTGTCCGGGAAGAACGATGGGGTTAATTCCACCTGTTACATTAGCGATGTGTGAGAGATGAAGCTGCTGCAACTGCCCGAGTAATGGATGATCCTCCGCGTCTGCTCCTCCATCCTCCGAGCCCCCATGTCAGGGGAACGACCAACCTTCAGTTTAACGCTGCACAAAACATCCGTTGTCACTACCTCCGACACAAACGCAGTGAAATCTTATTTCAAGAAAGACGTATAATTAAATTGCAGTTTCTGGTTTTCCTCAAGAAAATTACATTTCTTTAATCATTTTGCCTTGCAATGGCCACTGACATTTAATAATGAGCTACCAAGTAACTATAAGTGTTACCTGAAGTAAATACAAAGTGTTCTCAATAAAGTCAGTAAGACTTATTCTTATGTCTCAATTGAATTTGAGTCAGTTCCACGCTGAAATTGCTCATATTTAGCTGGTAAAACGAGACGATCACGGATTGAAAGGAGATCTGTATAAGCTATTGTGTTTGGTACGGAGGCTATCTTAAATTACAGACTTAGATAAAAAGTCAGGAGTTAAATCATTCTACTGCAAAATTGAATTTTAGAGATTGGATTATTCTTAGAAAATTGAGAAAAGATGCCACAGCCTTTGGAGGTATACAGACACGTCTAACATTTTCCGCAAATATTCTGTTTATCGACTACAACCATGCTAGAATGGAGACACAGGGCATTCATCTTGTTTTGGAAGTATGCCATAGGGATTCCGGGGGCAGAATACATGTAGGTCGTCAGTACCACAGGAGATTAAAGTGCTGCTTTGTGGGTACATGAGAAATGGTTGATTGGGTTATATTTAGTCAAAATGGGTGGATTATTGCTCTTGCTGTCGACCACTGGTTTGTCTGTCATTTACATTGAGTAAGTGAGTGAACGGTGCTGCCAGAACACTCAGGATTGATGAATGCTTCATAAAACAGTTACTCACACACACCATCATCCAACAATTGGAAAATGAAGTGTTTGCAGCAATCTGATTGGCTGAAAAACATTGTTAATGGATACTGGAAACAGTTTGAAATTTTCGCTCCCTTTGAATCGTTAATTGATAAGTATCTCTTTTGTCTCAGTCCAAAATGTCACAAAAGAAGCTGTTCGTCTTGGCCAATTGAATACCACATAAAACAGATAGTAAGTTTGATGAATATCTATCAGAACAGTTTTTGTCCACATTCTGCTGACCAGGTGGGTTCAGTTATCACAGAACCGTGAGACGTCATCCACTGTACCATGGCATCATCCACTGTATCATGGCGTCATCCACTGTATCATGGCGTCATCCACTGTATCATGGCATCATCCACTGTATCATGGCGTCATCCACTGTATTATGACGTCATCCACTGTATCATGGCATCATCCACTGTATCATGGCATCATCCACTGTATCATGGCGTCATCCACTGTATCATGGCGTCATCCACTGTATCATGGCGTTATCCACTGTATCATGGCATCATCCACTGTATCATGATGTCATCCACTGTATCATGGCATCATCCACTGTATCATGGCGTCATCCACTGTATCATGGCATTATCCACTGTATCATGGCATCATCCACTGTACCATGGCGTCATCGACTGTATCATGGCATCATCCACTGTATCATGGCGTTATCCACTGTATCATGGCGTCATCCACTGTATCATGGCATCATCCACTGTATCATGGCGTCATCCACTGTATTATGACGTCATCCACTGTGTCATGACGTCATCCACTGTATCATGGCATCACAACATTCCACACAAAGAGTGCTGACCCAACTTAGAAAAGGTCTTCAGCAACCCATGCTAGCAGTAAAAGGCAACTGACAGGATCAGGTAGTCTGGCTCGCTGACTTTGTTGATGCATGTCATCGTATCCCAAATGCGTGGATCGATGCTCATGATGTCAATCACTGGATTGTCTGGTCCAGACTTGATTATTTACAGATCGCTGTCATATAGCTGGAATATTACTGAGTGCGTCGTGAAACAGCAAACAAAAAAACAACAATAGAGAGTGCTGCTGAATACTTTGCTCTTTTATATACCTAAATATATTGTGATTGCACATTTGCATGCATTATTGAGTATTCAGTGCCTGGAAATATCAATATTTGAAACTTCAGTCTGATGACATTGGTTCCAAATGAAATTTCTTGAATCATATACGGTGTACACAAACCTGAGAATGTTTATCTCAACTGAGTCACAGAGGCGTCACCTGTATGGAAATGTCTTCTGCCAGAGCTGTGCAGGGCAAAATGTCTACCCTGATAACTGATTCATCTATAAGCTGTAAGGCAAATATCTAAGGCAGTGAATAGGGGCTTGAATAGCCTTGCTCCAAGGCTGTACTCAAAGAAAAGTCCATGGATGTGTTGTCATTCTCTCCTCCTTGTAGGCTAGTCCAGATATGTGGACAGTCTGAGGACTCCAGTCTCCAATAGCGACAACATGTTCTTATTGTTTACATAATCTAGAACTCATGATTTAAACTAATAATTATTGCCTTAGAGACTTGCGCAAGTCTAACGACCCCAGTCTCCAATTGGGACAACCTGTTCTTGCTGTTTACGTAATCTAGAACTTATGATTTAAACTAATAGTTATTGCCTTAGAGACATGTGCAAGTCTAGGGAGTGAATAACAAGCTGTTTGTATCAACTTGTGGCATATTGTCTGAGACCAACTAATGCACTGTCTCCGAGCAGGACAAGGAGAAGGTGAAGATCCACTTATTCTTACAACAAAGGCTCCTTTCAGACAAAACTTCTTGTATTTCTTTAACTCAGGGCTGTGTTTGTCTTTGATCAGAGATAAGGGTTAACTGATACCTATTCTTCTAACACACCCAGATTGCCTCGTGACTACTGTGATTGGGCAGTACACTCCCAGGCTATCTGTTTATGCAGGGAATTGCCTTGTTTTCATATGTAATTTCTGTAGTCTTTTTATTTTGTGTATTTTGTAAGAAAACTGGATAAAAGGCTATATATTATATTCCCGATTACAGCTGTCTTTTTTAAGAGTTAAGAGTCACATAAATCAATAAATCTCTAAGTGCATGAACCCATGTTTTTAACTTTTGTAAATACCACAATCGTAATGTTTCTTTGTTTATATAAACAATTCACTATAAACATCATATATTATCTTGCTGATATGTTTCTTGAATTAATTCTGTTTTATGATTCTGGATGATCTTAATTCTATACGTTACAACTACATGTGCTGAATTTAGAATAATAGCCTGTCATGTATCATTAAGCCGCGACAGTTCCAGGAATTACTCGTTAGTTAATAAAGCAGAGATGTCTTTGATTGTAAGAAAGCCTTGTGAGATTTCTGATGAGTCAGAGGACAGGGCCAATCATGCATGGAATGGCTCCAAAAAGCAATTGTATGGATGAAATAGTTCCTTCATTCCAGCAGCACTCTTGAAACTGAGCAGTGCCAGCATACCAGAAGTGGTGTCCTCTCTATGGCGAAGTCAGCTTGGGACAATGGTGTCCTTGGGACCGGTGGACACCGGTGGCAAGAGGGTATAGGAAGCTGGCAGGATGGATGGCTTCATTGTCTGCAGCAGCCGGACAGTTGTCTGTGGCCCGACTCGCCAGTCTTCCTCCGTCTTTGTTCACCAGCTCGGTGAATGGAGGACAATTGCG